AAAAAAAAAAAAAAAAAAAAAAAAAGCAAGGCAGGCAGCTCCATATAATCACTGGATCAGTTTATTATAGGGTAACTTACTCACAGGGTAGTATTAGGATCTGGAAGACAATGATCAGGAAGCATTCGCAGCTACACTCCACACGGCCAAAGAGCCGTTGGGACAATTTTATAGTTAACTTAGGGTATGGAGGTAGATGCTTGGAAACAGGACATACATTCCTAAGTCAGAATGAATGGTAACTAGTCTTGTGGGCACTGGGAGTACATCAGCAAATGTTATCATCATTGTTTGGGGACTAACAGAGCATAGAGGCCACAATATCTATTAATTACAAAGCTCTTTATGACATAGAAGTGATTTACTGTACCCTGGGTAGGGTCAGTGGTAGGACAGGAGAAACTGTAAGGGCCCAAGATAGCATCAGCTATGCTAATAGCCATACAGTGGGTCTAGGTGCGGTCAGCCTGATCCCTCCATTATAAAGTCTCCTGTGTGCCTATTTTTTTATTTGTAAAATGTGAATAAATTAAATATGCCCTCTCTACTTCAAGAAGTTTTGTGTGAAGGAAATGGTTTCACAGGTTTGAAAGTACTTAGTTCTAAGGAGCCATAGTAGTCAGGCCAATTCTGGATTTTCTGCTACAGTCAGATCTGAAGGGCCTACCATTTCTCCAAGGCCCATGGTTTTCTTTCTGTTATCTTACTAACCATCACTTGTTTGGGGTTTGGCTTTCAGCTGCAATGTTGTGGTGTAAATGGCACGAGTGATTGGATGGGCAGCCCACCAGCATCTTGTCCCTCAGACCCACAAGTTAAGGTAATTTATTTTTAGAAACTTTTCTGCTATTGGCCACTGTGGTTAAACTTTTAACTACCTTGAAACTCCAGTCGTACAGGACCTAGTCCTCCCAGCCAGAAACAGGAAACCTTAAACAAGAGAGACCAGGGAAACAACTCATATAACTAGACAAATAAGAAAAACAAACAAGAAAAAGAATAAGTTCATCTAGATTAGAGATGCCATGAAGAATCTTGCTACTTTAAACTATTAAAGGGGAAAATTTATGTGATAGTGGCAGAAGACTATGTCTAGATTTTTCTTGAGCAAGAATTAGGTCTTCTTATGGTTGAAAGTGAAATTGTAAGGTTGAAGCAGAAAAGCTTCTCTCTACATGTTTCCCTGCTCTCCTTCCTTGGAGATGGCAGCATCCAACCCTTTAGCAGAATGAATCATAAGTGAAGGAGTGAGGAGTTGGGGAAGAGAGAGTTGACAGAACTTCTGACTAGACCCAGAGAAGAAGCCCAAATCAACTTTCAAATAGACTAAGTCCCTAAGGTCCTGTTACCCCATGTTACTCACTTGAGGTTGTTTGGAAATCTCTGGAATTTGGGAGGGTCTGTGAAGAAAAACTGGGACACCTACCAACCAGCAACTGCCCTGCAGCTTGGTAAGCCTATTATGTTTACTGGCTTTTGAAGCAGAAGCTGAAATGCAACAGTCCTAGGATTGCATAGCCTATATTCCCATTTGTCAATCCCAAGACACTAATGAATATTCAAAAAACACAAAGACATATGTTGTTGACCTGCCTCTTAGGATCTAGTTTAACTCAGTGTGTAAAGATCTAAGACTTCTACTTTAGATGACACTGTAATGATAATAATACCAGAAAAGTCTCTAGTTTAATATTTTCTATTTTATGCCCATTTCTTCATCCATATAAAAATAATAAAAATATAATTCCTGGCCTAAGTCTCTTGGCATAAGGCAAAATACAAACTATCTTCGCAAATAAGCCTCCTGATAAAGTTGAGTAATATAGTAGTGTCATTTGTACTTGTAATTTTTTCTAGGGTTGCTATGTAAAAGCAAAACTGTGGTTTCACTCCAATTTCCTGTATATCGGAATCATCACTATCTGTGTATGCGTGATCCAGGTAAGAGCTTAACCAGAGGACTACTTTGAGGATTAAATGAGATGTCATGTAATTTTTAGAATGGTACCAGGTACAAAAATATTAGGTCCCCCAGTAAAGTAGAAAATGATGTTATTACCAGTTTAAGGCATACAGAAAATATGCTGTAAGATCTACTGGTCAATTTATCACTAAGGGAAATGAGTGTTTCATTGTCAAATTAAAAGCCACCAAGCAGAACCTTACTTTGGTCCCTCACAGAGCTGGTCTGGAAAAGCCTGTGATGAATAAAGCATTCCGCTTGAAAAATTGGCCTTGTGTGCTAAGCAGGAGTTGGTGATGAAAACTGTAATCAATTTCCTCTTTGCTTCTCTGCTTAGTTTGACAAGTCAGGGGTGAATGGGGGATAGTTTTTTGTCTTTTTTTATTATGTGATATTTCTACCATTTTTATACCCAAGTGTCTTGAGTGTATCACAGATTAGCTAAGACCTAATCAAGAAGCTCAGAGAGAAATGATTTTTCTCTACTTGAAAACCAAGGAGGCCTAAGGCAAGGGTAGAGATCACTCACTGCACAAAGTGTTGACCTGTGCAGAGCTTGATTATACCAGCAGCAGGACTTCTGTGATTTCTTAAGGAGACAAAAGATGTCCCAACACTTTATACTCTACTGTCTTGCCATCAGTACCCCCACTTGTCTCCCCACTGCTATTCTAAAGCTAAAGGAGAAAACTCCTGAGAAAGAATTAGAAGTGAGAGTAGGAAGGGTAGTCTCAGTGTGATGGACAACTTCTTTTTCTCTGAGACTGATCCCAGGGACTGTGGGTGAGATGTTTCCACCTGTAAAGACCTCACATTTTCCCAACTCTTTCCTCAGGTATTGGGGATGTCCTTTGCACTGACATTGAACTGCCAGATTGACAAAACCAGCCAGGTCCTAGGATTATGACCTGTGGCTGCCTTGTGCTGGAAAGACTTGTTTCATCACTGGAAATCCAAAACCACTTGTAACATGAAGCCCTAAATTACCACCTCCTGAACTGGTGTCTTTGTCCCCCTCCCACCTCTTCCCAGTTGAGTCCCTGTCTCATACAACCAGAGAAGAGGGTGTTGGTCAGGCACTTCCCATCTCAGATAGCAAGACAATCCTTTATCATTCATGGCAGCAGCCTTGTCACTCATTAATAACTGAGCATTTGTCAGACATGAAAGTCCAAGAGAACCTGTGGTACTAATGGCTCAAGATCAAAGGATGGGTCTGCAGCTTGAGTTTTTGCATCTTCCCATTGTCAAACAAGTCTCTGGCCTCTAAATCATGCCCAGTTCACTCTCCAAAGTCAACCAAGAGATAAGCTTAAGGGAGCTCCGGGGCCAGGTTCACTGGATCATTGTCACAATCCTGTTTCCTTTTGACTGGGGGCCTTGGCTACAGGAATGACAGAATACCCTTTCTCCAAAGGTTAGGTTTCATTTCAATTTCTTTATTAAAGGGTCTTATCGATTCATCTAAGTCTTTCCAAAATAAACTATCCAGTGACTCACACCCTGATTTCAGCCAATCTCTTAGCCTTTGATTTACATAACTATGAAGGAATTCAGCAGG